GAATATGATTTAATGATATTGTTGGTTTAGTGGTGTTGTCACTAGTGCTATCATTATACTGGTGTCACATAGTCAACAGTCATTAAGCGCTGGCACTCAAGTGAGCACTGTAAGGGGAGCAAACAAGTAGCTACTGCCTCTCTTTTGGACACCAAAAATTAGACAAATGTGCCAAATTATTGTGAACAGAACCTAAAAGTATTTTGGAATTCCATGGAGACCAAAATCTTGCTGACTTAGAAAGCCCCAAATTCGGGTCCACTGGAAGTTACTATGATACACTTTTCTGGGGACAGATTCATTCTTAAACACCTCCTTGAGATGTCTGAGCCTAGAAGAGAACCCTGCCCTTCTTCTCCAGAGGATGAGCAGCCAATAAGGGAGAGGAATAGACTGGAACATGGAGAAAAAAAGGCTGAGTTCCTACAGATTTTCTCAGGTCTCCTGGGGCAGTTTTGACTTAGGAAGATAATAAGCTACCAAACCCAATCTTGAGGTGAAAAAAAGACCAGTCCTTTAGACAGGAACATCACCTTGCAAACTTCATCAGTGCTACTACTGCTATCAGCACAATAAGGATGTAGGGTTCCTGTTTGTATCTGAAATGCCCCTGTGCAGAAGAGATGGCATTTCAAGAACAGGATGGGATAATGCAGAGTGCAACAGTAAAATGTACCGATTCAGTTGCTGAACCTGGAGAAACTACTTTCTTGTAGGCTAAAGGAAGATCCACAAACAATTTCAGTCTGCAAGCAAATATTGATGGGAACCTGAAGACTGTGATTTGTTTGGAGGAAGTGGCATTTGGAAGGAGTTAGGCAAAACAAAGTATATGGACTTATTTACAGCACATAAAAGGATGGTGATTTACCATATATTTTTCACAGCTGAAGAAGATTGGCATTGCATTTACCATATTATTCTTGAACTGTTCTTTTGTTCCCTAGTTGGTCATCATTGACATAAAATGGACAGCAGTACAGCTCGACTGAGTGAGCATAGCCATGACAATATAGAATCAACCCAGTACAGAGAGAGTTAAAAAAGCAACCGAGTTCATTATAAAAGCTGTCAGGTTATTCTACATAAATTGTAAAGAAATTTTGCTTGGCCCTGCAAGCAAAGATCTATTGGTCCTGCAAGTGAAGATCTATTTTTAGAACTAAAATGAACAATCAAGCCAGGTAAAACCTCTTTCTCACATAAATGACTGTGAACCTTTTTTCAGGAAACCACAAATTCTATAACAAGTTTTCATGTAAACCCCACTAATTCTGCTCTACAGAGATTTTGCTTTTCAACACTTTCCAGACTCTAATAAAATTACTACTAAATGTATTACAGTATCCTGTCTCAGACAGGATACTGTTTTCTCCAACTTTTCTAATTTGTTCATATAAACTTATTCTAGAGAAAGAAGACATACTCCAGGTATTGCACAACTTAAACTGGAAATAAGAAATGGATATATGAAAGTTTTAAATTTAGATCTGAAAACTAACTTTACACATGGTGCCAGCATCCTGACATACAGTAATTCAGAGTGAGTCACTTGCCATTCAGCAAAGAGAGAGAACGATAATTCAACTGCCGACAAACTCTTGGGGCAGAAGTAAACCTACTTTGGATAAGATATATACACATCTATTCTGGGAGAGGGTAGCCTTTTCCATTTTAGTAGCTTATTTTAAAAATTGGGAATTGAAGAGAATACTTCAGCTCTGAAATGAAGGAACATAAAAGAGGAAATTTGGGGCTTTATGGTAGATATCTGAAAGTCACACTGAAATCTTAAAGTACACAGAAGTGAGGCAGTAATATTCTAAGCGCAACCAGAAAATAGCTGTTAGACCCCAGAGACAAAGTCTTTATGAGTTTGTAAGATCTATCTGATGAGATTTTCCACTTTGGAAGAAAAGTTTAGTAGCGGCTTATGAAAGACTGTTCTAATAGAGAAGGCCTTTGTGGAATGACATGAGCAATCACTATACCAGATGTCAGTTGTGACTTGTGAGTCTGCTGAGTATGTATTAATGTCACTCCATTAATTTCCCTCAGGGATGAAATCTGCCTAAAACTACAGAGAGGATGGCACCCATGAATTTTCAGCAATTGTTTCTGCAGAATTACCTTCAGAGCATTAGCATTTCCTCAGTTTTATATAAGAGGAAGAAATAATTCAATATACATTCCTCCTTCTTTGGATGGTCATACATCCCTGACCCAGCTGACAAATTTACATGGTAGGCTGAAGAAGAGAGGGCTATATTTTGCTTAGCATCTTTCCCTGCCCTGTTGCAAGTAATGCCAGAAAACCCCTGCCAGATGTGACCTTTCCTTTTCAGGTGGGCTATCAGTGATCAGCAGTGTAGTCATAGGTATGAAGTACACATAGCTGGATTCCAGTTTTCCTTTCAGTTGTTAGCGAGTGAGATTGCAAAAATAAATGTGGGTATAATGCTGAACTCGAAATGTCTTTAATCGTATTCTTGTTCTCTTGAGTTTGGCCTGATAGATTGCAGATTTCAATTTTCATTCCTGGCTATCATTAAAATCTGTGAAGGTAAGGTTGAATCATACACTGGGCTTCTTGAGCCTTTTTCTTATTCAAATCATAGCCATCTCTTGGTTAACAGCAAGAACATGAATATATTCCTTTCTAACGGATAAATGTGCCGGAGGAATGGGTAATGTGTTTTATATTGTCACTTTCTTGTGCTTGTTTATGCTCAGGGTTGTTTTCCTTAGATCATTTTATATTCAGGCAGTCTCATCAGTTACCCTCATATGTATCAATTTCCAATTAACAAGAAGAGACGGAAACATGTAAGAATTCAGATCTCATAAAAGTTTTGAGTGCACCACTGTAACACCAACAATTATTACAGGAAGAGTAATTGTTTTCCCCCAAGCCAACCCTAGCTTTTTTTAATTTCAGTAACAGGCTTTGCAGTAACCTATATTGGACATTTATGCCTACATTAAGCAAAACAAAATCACTTCTGATCCCAGCAGACGTGCTAAACACTACAGAGCTCTGTGTTACTTAAAAGTAATTTTTGATATAGAAACTTTATTTATTTCACTTCAAGGTTTTTTCAAATAAGTCTTCTTTCAGATAAGAGTTCAACAATGGCTGGTATTGAGGATATAATGGTAATCTCAAGAATGCAACTTCCATTAAGTGAGGAAAGACTGAATTCTCAATTTACTGTACATCTAAATAATTAATTTGCCTCCAAGGCCCCTTAATAAACTGATCATTGAATGTAGTACAACTGGAGGTAACAGCACTGTGAAAGGTCTTGAGGCTATGGACAACTTGCATGTCATTACTCTCTCTAGATGAATTACACCATTCAAATAAAGTCATCAGATTTTTTGTCGGTAATGGGGCCAAGGTTTGACATTTACAAGTGCCTTTCTGATGTCTGTTTTTTATGAGATGTCTCCTCTGCGACCTCCAAATTACTTAAACCTTGTAAAAAAAAGCCTAGGAAAGAGATATTTAAGTGTTTCAGGGCTATCATTTGACAATGTTCACAAACTGTGTGCTCTTTAAAGGTTTTTAGGAGGAAACTACTCAACCCTACATTTCTTTTTATGTACAAAATGTTGCTTGTGCCAATCACAGCACACTAAGACCAGGTAAAAGCTGGATGAAAAGTGAAGTGTGATTTTGGACAACATTGATTTTACTTTCAATTTGTTTTTCATCTATTAATTTTTTACAAACATCCTACTCACTGAATTTTAAATGTGCATGTTTACCCATTTAAGCCACAATATATGCAGATTTATCTAGTAAGGGAACAGAAGCAATATTATTTGATTTATCCTACTGATCACAGTGAACTATTTAGCCCAGAAAGCCACAGCTAAAATGATTTCTCTAGATGGCCCATCTATATATTATCCTTTTACAATCCTTTCTCTATCAGCTTCTAGTTTTTGTTGCATCAGATTAACACCTGCAAGACCTCATCTGACTGAACCATTCTCCATTTTGGATCAATTTCTCTGCTGTACTTCAGTGGCAACATACCCCCTAAGGCCATTTGTCCATTTTTCTCCCAGTTTCTTATGAATCTTTGAAGGGCATATTGACTGCCCTTTTGGAGCAGTTCCAAACCCTGAACAAAAACCTTCAACTGAGTTCAAGCTCAGCTTTAGTGTTGTGGAATTTAAAACTCCACATGCTTTCAAACTGTTGCAAGCAGCAGGTACAAGTATAATAATCTAAAAGGATTTGGCTAATCGGTACAGAAAAGCAATGCACCTCTGCAAGTCCTTAGAAACTTCTTACATCTTGTTGGTATCTTTCCCAGTTTCAAAAAAGTGATGTTTCTTCCTACATTTCTAATGAGGAATACAAGCACAAAACTGTGACAAACGCCATGGGGGTAGAAGATAACTAGTAAAAGGCTTCTAGGCAATGTGGAAAGATTTACTTGCTTAAACCCATACATACAGAAAATGTGTTGCAAGAGCTTGCTTGAAACTAAATAGTTCTGAGGAGTTTAATGCGTTCATAATCACCCACAGATATACTGTGCTTCACATACTAGCTGCTGCCAAAAGACATTCCTTGCTTTATCACAGAACCACAGAATAGTTTGGGTTGTAAAGAACCTTAAAGATCATCCAGTTCCAAGCACCTGCCATGGGCAGGGGCACCTTCCGCTAGACCAAGTTGCTCAAAGTCCCATTCAACCTGGCCTTGAACACTTCCAGGGTTGGGCATCTACAGCTTCTCTGGGCAACCTATGCCAGTGTCTCACCACCTTTACAATAAGGAATTTCTTCCTAATATCTAAATCTACCCTCTCTCAGTTTAAAACCATTCCCCTTGTCCTATCACTACATGCCCTTGTCAAAAGTCTCTTTCTAGATTTCATGGTTTTAGGTAATTTTTCTTGTCTTTAGATACTGGAAGACTTCTCTAAGGTCTCACCAGAGCCCCCTCTTCCCCAGGCTGAACAGCCCCAGCTCTCTCAGCCTGTGTTCACAGAAGAGGTGGCCCTCTGATCATCTCAGTGGCCCTCCTCTGGACTCACTTCAACAGATCCACATCCTGCTTATGTTGGGGTCCCAAGAGCTGAACACAGTACTCCAGGTGGGATCTCTGGAGAGCAGAGTAGAGGAGGAAAATCATCTTCCTTGACCTGCTGACCATGATCCTTTTGATGCAGCCCAGCATACTGTTGGCTTTCTGGGCTGCAAGTGCACACTACTGGTTGAGCCTTTTCATCAACCAACACCCCTGGCAAGACACCACTTAACCAAATAGCGTCTTACAGAACGAGACTCTTAACATGGAGATTTTTACAGAAAAGTTTCTTTGACGCTTAGACAAACTCAGAGCCAGTTTCTTTCTGGACTGGACCCTGACACAAGGAATGCACAGTAAAACATAATTTTGAAGGATGAAATTCAGTAAAACAATTTATTTCAGGACAAGGCTATGCTTGACTCCTTGAAGGCTATTCCCGTGCTATATTTCAGTTGTCAACTATTTTGTCTGATTAAAGAAAAATAAAACAGGATTTAGTCAATAATAGGAATGTGCTCCTCTTTAAAAATCACAGGCTATTTTATCAAAACTGCAAAAATGACAAGCAGACCAAAGTACTACCCCATCTCTGGGTAAAGAACAGGAAGTTCTAGGCTGAAAAGTGAACATTGCTGAGAATGGTAGTCAAGTAAGAACAGGAGACTCAGTATGGGAAATCCCACATGGCTCTCTGTTATCACCCAAACCTCTCATTAGCTCTTATGACAGGAGGGCTGGAGAACGTGAGCTGCAGAGTTGCCCCTGCAGACCAACAGGCAGAGGGCAGTTCCCAGGTTGTATGCCCTATTCTTATCATGTGCCACAAGTAGCTGGGTGAATGTAAGATGCTCATATTCGGAAGCTATTATCATAGTCCACCTGTGCACAGATGATATGCAGCAGTGAAACTCCATCCTTTTTAGGATGCCTTACACTTGCATCTGAAAAGCAGCTGTATGAAAGAAGACTGTTCAAAAGCATCAGTAAGAGTCTCAGCATTGTCTCCTCTCCAGTCTACATGTCCATGGTTTGTTATGACAAAAGCATTGGCTGCTGTTTCCCTGTGGAATTAGTAAGTTCTCTAAAAGCTTCTGTGAGCACTAGACAATAAAATAACACATTTAATCAAAATTTGCAGTACATTTTAAGGAGATTTTTTTTTTTTCACATAAGTCAAAATACAATGAAGACACTGCCTGAGCATTACTGGGGAACACCAAGAAAATCTGAGTCAATGGAATTCTCAATTTTCTTTAGGATCTACCACCTTGAACAACCAGATTTTCAAGGGCTTGAATCTTACTAAGGCTTATAAAGTGAGTAGATTTTCACATAGGAAGCAAAAGTGCAGAGGGGTGAAAAGTTGGGTGGGAGTGTCAGAATAATGAGAATTCTTGACTATCTGATCTCTTGGCTAGAAAATTTTTATTTAAATTTCTCAAAATCCCTTTGTGCTTGAGGAGAATGGTTAAAAGAACCTGGGGGAAAAACAAAACAAGACAAAACAAGACAAAACAAAACAAAACAAAAAAAAAGAAGAGGGAAATATTTTTACTGGTTAGGAATACATATTTGGCTACATTTTACATACTGTTCAAATACCATGGGAAAATACCATGTTAGATATGAATTCTATCATATAGCATTGGAATATTGCTAGTTTAAGATATTTTACTATGAGATTATATATGATTCTAGACAGCTGTCAGTCATTACAAACAAAATTAAATGATAGCCTGTGTTAAAAAATGTGTTATGATGGGCTTAGCAACAACTAGAAGTATAATAGGAAAGTTTTAACAGTGAATGCAAAAAGGGCTGAAGCACATCGTAGAGTTTCAGAACCAAACTTTCTTGAATTTGACAGAGATTTATTTGACACTTTATTTAGAGGTTATAATTATCAGGATAAAGACTGTACCTTCCTCAAGTTCCAGATACCCCTGAGGGTGAAGGGAAAGACCTTACTGGGGGGTGTCTCCATCTTTCTGCTGTTATGTTTGGTTCACTGTTAGTATACAAGTTGCTTGCTCAGTTTTTAAAAAGATGTGAAAAAGGTAATATAAATATCTTTTGCACTTAACTGAAAATGCAAAAGACTGTAAAACATTTAGAGCTCTAAAAATGTAAAAGCTGGAACAAAAATAAATCCATTCATGTCATGTAACATAAAAATGATGTCAAGCCTGATAGGCAAGTTTAAGTATTTCTCAGGATGCCAAGCACAGTAGGACACAGAGTGAATTACACAAAATAGTTTGCCACGTACATACCTGAAAGAAAAGTGGGATCATGTGTGCATCTTGTCCATGCCTCTCAAGCTTGAACTCTCCAGTCAAGGAAATAATAGCAATAAAAAAATATCTCTGTTGCTTTTTAACAGGAATGTGAGTAACAGGAAGGGATGAAATCCCAAGAGACACCCACTGGAAGATGCAGAAACTGTCTGGATAGAGCACAGGTGACTGTAGGTCAGTGGGACCCATCACCTCACAGCAGTGAAATGGAGCAGCAGCCTGGTGCTGCACATCCACCATCACCTAATAGTTTCTTTCACACTTTGGACATGGCAAACTGCAGTGCTGACCACGGGAGGTACCTGCAAGACTGCCGTGGAGGTAGTCCTTCCTCATGGAAGATTTTCCTTTAAGGGAAAGAGAGCATTAGTCCTCCTCTCCCTTGCCCTTCCAAACCATTCATTCACTACTTCTATAGCTCCCAGCACAAGGGACAGCATCAGATACCTGTGTACTCTCTACCCCTACACCAAGATGACTTGGTTCGTCTTTTTCAGTAAAAGTTTCCAAATAGAAACAGAAATGGCAATGTAGCCAGGCCGGCACACTTCCTTCCTTCACCTGGCTCAGAAGAATTTCTCATGTTTACTTGGACCCAGAACGTGACCCATCTTTCCTGAAACACCAGGTGTTGTGAGATCCACCTCACAGAGCTCCCATCCTTCTAGAAGTTCAAAGAGCCAGGGTTCACTGAAGCACATCAATTCATAGTTCACAGTAAGCATACAAGTTGCTTTTCAGCCACTCTATCCAAATGAAGTACAGAGGTGTCCGGGTGTAGAGCTTTTTTAGTGTTTGGGTTTTGGTTTTTTTTGTTTGGTGGGTTTTTTTTTTGTTTGTTGGTGTTGTTTCTTGTGGTTTTTTTTTTGTGTGGTTGTTTTGATTAATTTTTGGGGGGTGCGGGGTGGTGAAGTACATGTTAGTTTGTGTAACAAAGCAAAATGTCCTGCTTCACATTTTTGCTGTGAAAACACGAGGCTTTGAGGGGTTTAGAGGCAAACCTATCAATTGCCAGACACTGGCTGGAAAGGATTTTGAATCACAGCAAACCTCTGATGACCCCAGATTGAATTTCGAGTTTGCAATAAAACCTGTGAGTTTCCAGTGGTTTCAGGTTCTGTTGTAAACATTATACAACATCTCTAATTACAAGTTGACATGCAAAAAAGAAAAACTAACAAAACACGGGTTAAAAAATTTGGAAGAAATTATTCTTGTTTAAACAGAAATTCCAGCACTCGTGCCTTTATCTGTCATTCCAAATGCTTTTTAGGGTTCTAAGCCCTGAAAGCATAGGGACCTGCAGTGCTTTTGGAGACACAGAAAAAGGCCTGTATTATATGGCATACCTGGAGCCTGGATATGTAGAGAAGATCCTGCTTCACAGCTCACGGGTGTCGGTGTCGTATAGCTGCATACAGACCTGTCTGAAGGGTTGGTCTTTTATTACATGTGGAAACGATAGCATTAAGGGCAATGCTGTTTATTACCAGTTCAATTGCGAGCAGTGAGACTCTGCTGGCACCACAAGCCAGACAAGAGTTGCCAAAAGAAAGCAAGGGGAGCAAAGGAAAAAAGCCCCACAAACCCTGCCTCGAACATACAGCCCGTCTGCTTGATGCACGATGACGGCGCAACGCTCTCCACCCGGTCCATAACGCGGACCAGCCGGCAAAGCCCACCCGAGGCGGCCGGACAAGCAGTTCCCGGGACCCGCCGCTACCGGCCCCGGCTTCCCCACCCACCCGTCCGCCCGCCCGCCTCGGCCAGCGCTTTCTCCCTTTCGCCTCTCTTCGCCGCTTCCTTCTCCTCCAGGGGGGACAGATTCCCCTCCACAGGGGACGGCAAGCCGCGACGTGCTGTGCCGAGCCGCGTCGGACCGAGCAGCGTTGAGCCACGCTGTGCCATGCCGTGCCATGCCGGAGCGGGGGAGGATAGCTGAGCCCTGCCGTGCCGACGAGAGGAGAGCCGAGCTGTGCCGCTCCGAGGCGGTGCTGGCACCCGCGTCTGCAGCAGGAGGCGCTGCCGTGCGTCGCTGCGCCCGTGCGGGGCCGCGGGCCGGAGTCCCACACTCTCGCTGCCAAGTGCCGGGGAGTGGGGGTTGGACGTGCATGCTCAGCTCCTCCCTCCCTTCCCCGCTCGCCCAGCAGCAAAGTAACTCCGGAGTACGAGGAGAACCGGTGCCGTTGCCGCCGCGCTGCAGACGGCTGCCCCAGCGGGCGGCCCCGGGGCCAGCGGGCGCCCCTCGGCGCGGGGGTCTCCTGGCGAGGCGCCGGGGCGGGCGACGTGAGCTCAGCCCGCTGCCACCGCCGAGGGCTGGGGCAGCCCCGGCCTCTTTCGGAAACTTCTCGGCAAGTCGGCATGGGCAGGGGGGCTGGCGCCACTGCCTCGCTGCCGCTGCTGGCGGTGCTCGCCCTGCTGGCCGGCTGCTCGCCCGCCCTGCTCGGGACGGCCAGGGCCCAGCTCTCTGCAGGTGAGTGAGTTGTCGCTCGGCCCTCAGGTGAGGGCGGGGAGGGTCTCGCCGCGCCCGGGGTGTTCGCCAAGGAATGGGAGCGAAGGGGAGAGAGCGGGTGGCACCGCACTGGGACCCGGCTTTCGTCCCCGAGGAGCGGTGGTGGGGCTGCCCTCCGCTCCTAAGCACCCCCCAGCCGCCGCTCTGTGGGGCACGTTTCGGCGGGGAGGGCGACCCACGCGTGTCCACAGGCTGCCGGCGCGGGTCTCGCAGGGGCGAGCAGGGCGCGGGCTTCGGGAGCCTCACAAACTCCCTTTCCTCTCTTCCTCCTAGTTCTCCCCGCAGGCCAGCCTCCCAGGTGGCGTCGGTGCTGCCGGCGGGGCAGGAGCTGCTACCGCCCCTTCCTCCGCTCAAACTTTCCCGGCGCTTTCCTGTCCGGCGCGGGGGGCGCAGCCATCGGGGTGCCTCGTCCGCTTCCCGTACCGAGCGGGGCGCGGCGCCGAGCCCCGCGGCGTGGGGTGGGGAGGCGCGGCCCTGGCCTCCGGCAGCTGCCGGGATTTCCCCCCCTACAAAAAGAGTGGTGGGCGAGAAAGGGGAGGGAAGGCAGCATATGGACTGGCGTCTGTTTTGTTTGAAACCCGCGAATTTCTTACCCCTTCCTTTCACTCCCGCCCCGCGCCATGGGGCTTTGCAGAATAAAAGCCCACGGGGCCGGGCGGTGGGAGCTGCGGCCGGTGCAGCGGTGAGTTGTTGGCCCCGGGGGAGCCTTGGGGCAAAGCTCCCGGCGGGGCTGGGGCGAGCGGTCGGTCGGTCGGTAGCTCCGGCAGGTGGAGGGCGGTGAGAGTAGGGGGGGCTCGTGTTACGGGCCCTGGCACCCTCCCCACCCCTCCGCTGTAGTTTATGAAGCGTCCTTCGTTTGTTTGTGGTGAAGCTGTATCGTGAACATGTTGTTTGTGGTGTGGAGTATTACGCGAAGGGCTAGCTGAAGTAGACTTCAGGGTCTGTTATTTGAAAAAATAGCATTGCAGTTGCACTGGGTGCGTTCAAAGCCTTTATTGTAGGATAACTGAGTTGAAAACTGCTGTTAATAAAAGTACACTTGGGAGACTTGGAAGCATGGTTTTCATAAGGAACGGTGTGTAGTCAGGAGGCTTTTCTCTCCTTTTCTGTCCTGCAGTTCTCCTGTAAATTAGTTTTTAATTGAGACATTTGAAATGTGTCGTCGATTAAAAAATGCGCTGAAGCAGTAAGAGAAATTATGTTGGTTTGAACAGATTACATCCCTCCTATATGGCTGACTATGGTGTGTATCATTTGATGTCTGTGTATCAGAACTGTAAAATTACGTAAGTGCCTGCAAGCCTTTTACCAAGGGAAGGGAAGTGCACCATACATGCCGCTGGTGTGTTGTAGGAATAGCCAAAATAAAATATGCCCAAGCATAACAACCTTCATTCAAAGCCATACTAAAATCAGACCAATGATTTTTGTGTTGCTGTAACTTGTCAGGCTGATGTTAACACCAAAGGCGACTCTTACGTAAATATTGCTTACGAGCTTGTTCACTGGCATAAGAAGAGTAGGAAGTTTTGATAACTTATGTGTTTCATGGTATTTTGTGCTGAAAATGTGTCACGCAGCCCTTGCTGGAGTTGCAAGTACAAGAAGCCAGGTTGGTACTGTGAGGTATGTGTTAGGTAAGTGGAAAAGAATGTTCAGCGTCCTTCTGACTGGAGTAGGTGAAGCTTGTCAAGGAGTTGAACAATTGTATCTAGGAAACATGAGATTATTTTTTTGTGTATGTGTGTCTAGCATGTCAGCAGCTAGAGACTAGTTTCTATTGCCAAGCATCAAAAATGTGTTGCACATTTTTAATAAACCTCTGTGGTCAGAGGTTTATTAATTAGAGACTTGCTCAGACTTTCTTGAATGTTTGGAGAGATATATTTGTTAGTAGTTGGTGCTTTCAGTGTACTCAGTTTAAGATATGGTGCTCGGAAGTATGTTCAGTTTTCACATGTAGAGCTATGCCCCTGCTGAATGTTTCCTTATGGTTAATCTTGGTTTGAAGGCTCTTGGTTTGACAAGTGCCACAAACTTTGTTTTTGTTCCTTATTCTAAACCAGTCCCTGATGTGTGTGTTGGGGCTCACGTGTCTGTTCCATCAAAGACCTCTCTTTAGCCTACAGTGAGATATTTCTGTGTTTGGTGCACACAGGAGCATCTGTTTTCTTCAGTCATCTCCTCTAACAGTACTGTTTTTCAAGCATTTTCCTTTGACTGCCTTTTCACCCCTCCTCACCTTAATCTAATGGCCTGCACTTTTCCATGTTAAACTGAATCTAGCCCATTTCTAGCTTCACTTTTATTAGTAATCTTATTGTAAGAATTTTAAATAGTTACTTTTTCTTTGCCATTAATGAAGCTATTAATTCAGTCTGGACCTTTCACAAATCTCTCTTTCACTGTAATTCGATTTATATTTCCTTTTGATGATCCTTTGTACTACTCCAGAGTGTGAACGTTGGCCAGGTCCTGAGTTTCTTTGTAAAAATTTTGATATGTTTATTAAGGGTCTAATAAAATTACAGAGCATGAAAGCTGGCCATTTTCAGGAGTGTGTGTGTGCGATGGTTGTTATCTCTTCTTCCTCATAACATTCTATGAAAGCAAATGTGAAGGCAAGAGAAGGAACAGCGGCAAGTTAGGAAAAAGAACAAGATACATCTTGTAATTTGTTGCCCTCTTAAAGGTTGTTCCTGTGTACCATCTCCACCCTCTTTGCACATAGTTGAAACACTGTATGTTTTGTGTTTCCCCACATATCCCAAACAGTAAAAAAAAACCAACCCCAACCCCCAAGCAGGTTCTCTCTGCCACCCCCTGCTCCAACCCAACCATAATCCACAGTGTAATGTTTTCTGGTCTCTGTAGATTGTTTCTTTACACCGCTGCTTTCCATGACCCTTCAACTTGGGTGAGTGCCTGTCAGAATCTAGGCCAAAATGTTTTGGCAGCACACTCTCTGTTGAAGTCTAGCTATTCCTTATATAGCACCTCCTTTCATCTGCAACTCCTACAGTTTGATAAAGAACAAGTTCAGCTTGTTTTCACAACCAGATCAGTTTAAACCTATGTTAAAAAAAAAAAATTAGCAGTTTACACATCTTCAAATTTTGAGAGAAAAAAGAAAATACTTCAATTTTTTTAAGAACATTGCCAGCTTGCCAGTTAGCTGATGGAAATGTGCCTTACCCTGCCTCCCATGGTATCCGTGCAACTGTGTGATTTATTTATTTTCTTTTTTTTTTTTAAATACAAAATGAAAGATATGAGGAAAAAAATTCTAGAAGCTTATCAGCTTACCTGATGTTAAAAGTGTGGGATTTAAGACCACAGGGACAGTTAAGCGTAAAAAGAAGGCCTGTATGTTTTACAGTTTCAAGTCCTTTATTAGAGTAGTTATTCCTCAGACTTTCTCATGCAAAGTAGTTATGGTGTCACAGATGAAAAGGCAAGAGTAAATATTTCTGTATTAATCTACACATCACGCCCTCCGTCCTGTCCCTCCCTGTGTCCTTCCCCCCTCCCCCCCTCCCCAAAATTGTTACAGTCTGTCTTTGGGAGAGAATCTAACACAGAAATTTGGTATTACAAAGTAGATGATGTTATTTGTTTTATAAGGATTTTTTGTAATTAAATATACTTACATTGAAATAGACAAAACTTAATAAACCTTTTTTTATTTACTTGTAATCATACAGTAGAAGAAATTAAGGGCTTTTTGAAAATGCTTTAAAATACCTTTTTAGTAATTAAACTCAAATTAGCCCTTTGCTGTCAGAAGAGCAAAAGTTGTTTCAGTGAGATTTTATCCTTGAATGTGCTACAATTTGCGTGTGATATACAAGAAACACTTGCGCGGGTAGGCGTGTAGGTATGAGACTTCTCAGTAGTATCTTTTTCCACCAAGCTGTTAAAATGTATTGACAAGTGATATAGAAGATTGGTAAAATTAAAAGTGAAGTTATTTTGTCACGTTTACCCCCTCCTTCCCAAATGTTTTCCTTTCCTTTATATATTCAGCTTCTTCTATGGCACTGGAGGTTCAGCCATCACTCATCTTTCTATGTTTTCTGTATTTTGTAGTATTACAATTATAAAAATATATATACATTTTCAAAGTGGCGCTTAGCTGTTTCAG